TTGGTGTAAAGGACAAGTTGTTAAAATTTTAGGGAAAAACGTTTACGTTGTTCGACCACTAGATTCAAATTTCCTTTGGAAAAGACATACTAATCAGATCAGAGAACTAAATGATGATTATTCGTTGGTCTACCCACCCTGCGTGGAGCTACCGCACACTGTAAACGTTTTTTCCAATAGTGATGGCGCCAGCAATACTTCTGCCGGTAGTTCGGTTGATGATGTGTTTGTGGATGCCGGAATCGCGGATAGTGAACGCGTGGATGTCAGTGACTCGGATTCTAGCTCCATTGGTGAACAGGCTGAACTTACACGACCCATACGTATCCGTAAGGTACCGGATAGGCTCCAATACTAACCATTCATTAATTGTTTCTTTTTTTTATTGTTACCCATCTGATCACTGTTAACAATTTTCGGGGGAGATGAATGTAGTATATTAAGTACGCCCCTGGTTCCCCGAAAATTGCGCATGTACGATGAGTACTCTCACCGGGATACGTTTAACACACAGTATGTCGGGGTTCCGTATTTGTAACAGTTATCGGTGATATATAATAAACCATTAGTATACTTCCGGGTATTATTGATACCAACTAAGACATTACAGTTGACAAACAGTTTTCCACCAGAGCTCCAAAGAAATGAGACTCCCGTGTATGGACACGCACCTTTTTTTTATGAAAAAACCCCAAATAGTGCATTACTGGTTCTGACAGAACCTAAGTCTTTTTGATGCCATTGCGCTACAGGAAAAATTGTACCGGAAGGTTTGGTAAGTATATAGTGAATCTACTAGACGACATTTTTTAATCGCGATTTTATACTGTTCTCATATTCCTATCCATGGTACTTACCCAACTGAGCTCTGGAATCAACATAACGTGGACCCATTAACTAAAATTTTATGACACTATTATTTAATTTCGTGAGAATCCATTAAGCCTTTTTAACGACGTAACGACAGTAGCCATTGTGCGATAAATAATCAAGAGCCACTTCGTTTCCATCGTAAACACTATTTCCAATTTAGCTCTAGTACTGGGTGAAGCAATTCAAGTGTAATAATATCAACGTATCTTTAAGGCTTCCAAGATTAAGCTATTATTTAGTCAATAATAATATAGATATCTATATAACAAGGAAGACGGCATGCAAATTGACCAAAATGGTTACTTTGAAGCTGGATTGAGGGCGAAATACATAAAGCCCTCAATTTCGTCTATGTGACAACAGTTCGTGAAAAATAAGAAAGTAAAAGATTGTATTGTAATACTACAACAACTACACGTTATACAAAATAGAGGTTTTTTAAATGTGAGGAGGTAAGTTAAGCTGCTATGAAACATGTAAAGGGTTTTCCATTAAGGGCTTGACAACTTTCTTTTTAAATAAACCGCAAATCATTTTAGATATCTAGAAAATTTTATTATTGGATTGGAGTATACTCAAAACGTTGATGTATGGAACTCGATCTCGTTCGTAATCCACCACGGGCACGTTCGCAGCAATGGATTCGTTGATTGATAGACGAATGATTTAAAAACAGGTCTAGAGGTGTTAAATCACACGATCTAGGCGGCCATTCGACAGCACCATTTGTCAATATAACACCTTCATCGAATTTTCATTTCAATATGGCGATTGTTGCACCCGCTGTGTGGTTTGTGGCACCGTCTTCATGACGCCACATATCATTAATGTCTAGCTGATCCAAATGACCAAAAAATAACGTTGCAACATGTTTCTGTAGCGATCTCCGTTGACTGTAACGTGACGGACATTTTCATCAACGGAAAAAGGCGGCCCAATGACACCGCCGGCATAGCCAAAATGGAATCAACCCAAGCATATGTAATGCACACATATTAAATGGATGCCGTACTGGTATTTTCTACTAAACACTGGCAGCACTGCATCCGTTAACTTTGATTTAACTGTAAGCTTATAGATGATAGCGCAAGACTGGTTGCCTATGCGGTCAGCTTGATATAGGGAAAAGTTCTTCGCGCGCGCTTAAGCTGTGAGCAAATTTGATAGAAAATACTTTTTGACGGTCCAGTGGCGGATTTAAGGAAAAGGGCCCGGTCTGCAATATGCGCTAGGGGGGCCAGTGGTATGAAGGGGGCAGACGGAAAATAGTGCGCAGTATAACTGTTTTGCGAATAATATAAATTACTGCAACTATTGACAAATAAAATACGGCATTGGAAACTTTGAAAGTTGCATGACAGGCACAGGACAGGTTGTAATGCGCATCGTAATTTTTTGAAGTAAATTAAACTTGATGATTCACCAGCAAACTTCTTGTGCATAATAGAGTTTAAAAGTTATCACGGATGCTACCGATAAGTAAAGAGCCTCTAGTCAAATTTGGAGTGCACACTATTTCTAGGATTTGCATAAAATTTTAAGTAAGAAAAAAAGCAAATATGATCGATAGTTGTCATGTTTGCCGTGAATAATATTTCATTGAATACAAACTTGGTGAACAACACTAAAATACGTTAAATAACGTGCATTATTACAGGATATATAGTGGGCACTATTTGCGAAAGTGATATTATCCACATTTATCGCTATTTGCAAATTAATGACGGCAACTGAGCATAAAAAATCAGAAAGACCTGCACAAGTAACCGAAACAAGCTCATGGCTAGTGCAAAAGGTCATTTAATAGTAATTTGATGCAAAAAGTCAATCTAATGCTGCTTCAACGTGAAAATAAAACAGCTAATTCAACTGTTTCAATACTCACGCGGATCTAAAATTTTTCGATAACGTGAAATTAATCTAAATTGTTCAGATAAAGTTCGAACTACAGAGTTTGCTGACAATAAGGATGTCACATAACAGGGACTTACAATTATGTACACAATATTAGCTGCTGCGCACTGCTAACTCTGTTTTTTTACTATATGTCGATATAACCTGAATCAAGTAGAGACTGTGAGATCAAACATTTTTCACTCAATACAAGATAACAGAATTATTCTAATTTGAATCCGCGTCTTGTTTTTCGTTCAGCAAAAACTTCCATCGCAGAATCCGAATTGAGCACTAGCTGAACCGATAGGCAAAGTCAAAAACAATCTGAATAAATTGCAGCTCTCTGGAAAACTGTCTATAAAATTGTTTGCAATCATGAACATCAAATGTCATTAGTAAAATTACAATTTTCTGAAAAATACATGCTCGTAAAACTGGCTAATTCATATTTTAGATCTGTAGTGAAAAATTCCCAACATTTTTCCACCAAATGTGGCACGTGTTTCTAATTCGTTTTCTTTGTTACTCATTGAGTCCAAAACTTCGTAGTAATTTATTCGATGTTTATCGTATTTCCAGTGGCGAGTCAGCAGCTTTTTTGTAGAACATTTTTTTGATTTTCCTCTTTCTGACAATGGGAAAACCAGGATTTTCCCATTCCATCTCTTCCGATTTATTCTTATCCTTCAGAACAAAATTATCGTATGTGCTTTCGCTCCTCAAATCTTTTAATTTTTTTAATGCTGCTGAAATGCACCTTTGAGCCATCATCAAGTCTATTTCTTTCTTTAACAAATTGAGGAAAAAGGTCCAGTTCATGGAGGAAAGGAGAGATCTTGCATTCATTTTATATCTGCGCCAGAAGCTCCCACTCTTCATCTTCTATGCAATTGATAATACATTCAAAAAATTTCTTCCACGATATTATCATGAAGAAAATAGATATGTCATCAACTAAAAAAATGCACAGTTTATGGTTATAAGCATTGAAGACGTGAACAGACTGTAATAGACGTATTAGACCCTTTATTAGTCTGAAAGAGGCTGATTCATACCACGACGATATTTATTTTCTGAAACATTTTGTTCCAAGTAACAATATATCACTGTAAGCACAAAATGAAAAAATAACCCGTCCACTCCTTGAGAAATAAAAGAGTCATTCGGTCATTTTTTTAGAAATGAAATAGTAATTTTTCAAAAAGTTTCTTAAGAAATGAAAGAGACATTTTCTTATCCAAACTGAATGCTAATACGATGATTCATAAACATTACGCAGATGGTCATTAAAAGAATATAACAACACTCTGATTTCTTGTTATTAATTTTACATTCAGACGCGCTGAACAAGTATAGACACTAGAGCTGATTTTTGCCCTGTGACCACCCTTCCTTGGGGGGCTCAGGCGGCAACGTCCATTTTGCCATTACTTAAATCCGCCACTGTAACGGACAGGCTCTACCCTAAGGGTACAAGGGTAGGGTTGTCATCTGCCATCCGTCCGCCAATCAACTTTTTAATTTTTAATTTTTATGTCAGAGGCACTGATGTCAACCCCCACCCCCCTAAGACGAGAACATCTTCCTGAACATGAAGTTTTTTGACCAGTGTGCCCCCCCCAGACACAAATCCTGGATCCGCCGTTGAATCAACCGCATTTGTATCACCTTGTATAACCGTTTAACTCAAGTGGGAAAGTACTCATTGAAATCCATTGTTACTTTTCTTTGCAAATTGTGCATCATTATGCCAACTAGCGGCTACCTAGTATTACTGTATATTGATGATACTCAATAAGAGTCACATATGGCATAAAAATGGTAAAATTGTATGGTTAGGTTTTCACGTAACAGATGTTCATAAAGCTTGTCAGGTGGTTTAGGCATGTATTAAACTCAACGTGTGCGGGGCATGTTTTTTAGAAAATATTTCTTAATTACCCATATGCATGTACAGAGCAAAAAGGCTCCGCAGTGACGTAGGTAAACTGGCAGAGGTATTAGTGTGACATTATGTAGTTTTTTCTACAATATGTCAACTCACAAGTTAGTGTACTCGTTCCGTAGCTGTACGTGTCGCCTAAACATCATGCTTCAGAGATGACACTATTGGAGGTCTAAGCTGGAAGTTGTATACTATAACTGGAAGGAAACGGCAGTGCATAGTGAGGATTTGTTAGCTGATAATCTGAGTTGGTGATAATACCGTTAGTGTCTTGGCTGAAATACTCTTACAAGATGTATGCAAGACTAAAAATTTGCTGGATTTCAAAAAACAGAGCAATCAGAAAGGAAAATCCCCAGTTGGTGAAGTATACTCGTATTACAACTAACATGTGAGAAAATATGTTACATACAGGAATATTTATGAAACGTAAAAAAGTTATTACATTTCACATTAATTTTGTTTCCAGTAATTTAAATTTTATAGAAATTTATTTTGCGACGTCAAGTAGAAAATACAAATCAGTGTCCATATGTGAGGCAATGCGAAAATGTTTTGTATGTGATGCGGCATTCCTAAATTTTCTGCGATGTGGCTTAATTACACACAACGCGGGTACGCAGCTGATTACCCGTAATGCTTCTCAAAAGTTTTAGAAAACGCAAAGTAAACGGGTAGAGTCATAATGTATAGCTTTGAACATATTCTCTCTTCAGAAAGAACAACCCAAATAACCCGTCTGGCACAACTAATAGATATATTTCTTGGGCCATATTCAGTAATAATTTTCTCACATAGCAGATATCACTGATTTTAAACACATCCAGACCAATACACACAATCATCGAGATATGATCTTAGCACTCTGCTACTCAACCCCAAATCTTCTCGGAGTATACTTTACAGACTATCTCGGCGTTATGCAACCAACAAACGACGATGGAAACACGTTTGCAGCATTGAGCGTGTCATGTCGTTGAGTCATTCCTCTAGATAGACGCTTTTTCTGACACTCACTCCGCTCATAGCGAGTAAACTATGTGCACACTAGGAACTATCTAGGCAGCAAGTTGACACTTTGTCGTTTTTTCTTGTATTTTATAGGTTTTTTTACTCAATAGCCCCGCGGATGTGACACATGATAATAATCTTATGAAACCCCTAAACGTCAAAAAATATTGTTGTTTTTATGAACATGATACCCTTTTGTAGCTGCAGCTTCACCCCCACTGGGTCAATTTTCAAAAACTACAAAACTTTTTCGTAGTATAGTCCTAATCGTATCTCAAAATTTCATCAAAATCGGGCGGGTACTTTCCAAGTAAGTAATGTACATGTCAACTAACTTCCAAAAGATATACGTGTACAACACTTCCTTGCTAGATGGCGTGCGAAGTTTTTGAACCGGCTTCAGACCTTACAAACTGAGAGCAATATGCACATGTGCGTAGTGGTACTAGGGTACATAGAAGTTAATTCTATGTCTAAAGAATATTTGATGAGTGCGCCGCAGGAGCCTCTCTTATTTAGCTTTACATAACGTTGTACCTAATGCATTGATAACTCCGTTTGCAGATGGTCATCGCTACTGGTTCTTTATATGAACAGTTGAACGTGATGTAGACGTTTCATTGACTAGGCTAGATTTTAATTTAAGTAAGGCACACAGCTTTAGGTTTTACACAAAACAAACAAATTGCAACGAATAATGCTTCAAATTAAATAATGTTAAGACTAGTAATGTAAAATACGTAAAGTTTCTTGTGTATATTTCGATTCGTGTTTGATTCGGATCCAGCACTGACCATCTAATAACGAGACTTAATTGATCTTGTGATCTGTCATCGAAAGTTTCAAAGGCAAATAAACAGCGAAATTTATGATGTGTGAAATATGTACTGATAGGTGCGTAAAATTATTGAGGTTGAAAGGTTATAAATATACTGCAACGCCAAAAACCCGATTTTCAGTCCCTACAAACAATTTTCTGAAAACGACCAGGAGCCTCTAAAAGTGAGGTGTAGTCCAAAGATCCAAACATACAAGACATACATATCTCATTTTCGAAATTTTTCACGATTATAAAATTCTTCCCAGGAGGTGTGGGAAGTAAAAAGCGGATGCTTGATCAATTCGGATATGCGCAAATACGTATATTTCAACAAAAAGAAATATGGAAGTTAATATCACAGCCGAACTGGACAGTGCGCAGCGTGGATGAAATGATCATGAGGTATTTCAATTGCTGTTCCGCTTCAATAGATCTCTTGGTAGGCATCAACGTATTATAACCATTCCAAGAACAAACGGTTCATTGATGATTTCGAAGAAACAAAAAAATTTTGGTCTACACAAAGAATTTTCAACAAGTCACTCTGACACCAATTCAGAACATCGAAAATATCGAGTGTTGGCTAATGGTACGTCAAATTTTGAAAACTAAGTAGGTTGTAGAGTCCTTGAATACTAGATTTTTTGTAAAATTTTTCAAAATAGTTCCTTGTTTTGATGGCGGGTGTTGCCTAAACATCATTAAAGTCCCTGCCAGAAATTTCCATCGTTTTATCTATTCATGCAAAGTGTGACATTTATTTTGTGGTTATGTCCTGATCAATGAATGAAGCCACAGATATTGAACAAGTTACTGGCAGATGTAATGAAAATTTTGGAGATGACCACTCACATTTATTTGTTTTACTTGTCATGCCATTGGCGAGAAAGTTTTGTAATTCAAAAAGTTTCGAAAATGAGATATTATATAACTTGGAATGTACCGCTCGGATATTGATTTGATTTTCACACAAGATTACTAGTGTGCCAAGGACGAGAAACTTTATAGCTTTTGAAACTCGGTCCAGAGGCAGCGGAGTTAGGGACAAAAAAGAAATAATGTAAAAACCGCTCAATCTTCGTTGTTGGGTGTTCCAGAGGCTCCTGATCATTGGAGACATATTTCTCATTTTCTTGGCTCTAGTATATTCATGTGCCTCCAATCCTTGTAATTATATACCCCATCTGGCATATTTCACATATCATAGATTTCCTCTTACTTTTACCTTTAAGACTTGAATAATAGAGAAATATTTTAAATACACGCATCCCACGCAGCGCGTCTAACGTTGATACACCAGGGCTTTCTCGCATGGACTCTTTGTATTAAAGGGTCCAATGTATCGGTTTTATAATCGAGAGACTGTCCTTTTTTGTCATTACTCTATATGTAGAATTTCTTTTGTTTATGATGTTTATTCATGACGAAATAAATATTTTTAATTTGAATTTGAATTTCAAGATTTGGTCGATCTCTGGGGGCTGCGGAGTAGCGACTGGCGAGGTTAGTCATAACAACGTTGCCAGATGGTTGGTACTGTCGGAGGAGAAATTTCGAGATCGCAGCGTGTCAAATGGGTGGGTAATATGGACCAATTTGATAGACCTGATTGACTTACTTGATCTATTTAATTAATTGTTATACAACGTATTCGTAGCAAACTTTTTCTGATGGGATAACTTGTAGTTTTTATGACCTGATGACAGCGTTTCAATGTGGAAGAGCTCAATTGTTTCTATCGCATAGACCCAGAAGAGACTACACAATATGAGGTTTACAACATGACAAAAGAAAGAGGGATCATCCTATATAAAGCCGAATAACGATGGCCTTAACAATATTCTTCCACCAATTTCAATCCTATTTGGTTAAAAGTACTTGGAACCACAGTAGTTGTAGTTGTTTGGACGGTGAGGTACTTTTTGCCGACCCCGATTGTACCAACACTCTACTGCACATTCTTATCTGTCGGTCCACTCATGTTGATATCCTAATGAAGGTCAGGGTCCAACCATTCCACAGCTCTGAATACCTCAGCCCTTAGGTTATACGCAGTTTCGTCCTCCTCTCAGCATGTGGGACATATAGGGTCTTTTCTTACCCTTAGTAGGGACATATGCCTGTTCAATCTGCAGTGGCCGGGAAGGACCTCTAGGGAAAGATTGAGTGACTCCCTATTTCTGTCCAGTAACCGCTCTTGGCCTGCCTGCAGTCTTTTCTCCCTGGCCACGCGTTTCCCAGGTTCTTAGACGCCTATTTATTCAATGCGGTGTTGACCTACGCCTCCGTATACCCAGCCTAGGCTCAGGACCGATACAGAGGATTTTGTCTAGCCAGATAGCTGGCCCTCTCATTACCCGGTACTCCACTGTGTCACTGGGTCACTTCTTTAGATCGGACCAAGCTCTGAAGTGGATTGGAGTAAAGATGATCTTATCGTCAGTGATACCACCTCCTTCAAAGCCGCCTGGCTGTCGGAACATATAAATATGCTTCACTCAGTGTACTGTTATAACTCCTCTAAGGCTACACTTTTTCTTATCCATTTTGGAAATTACATATACAAATTTGCTGTATTTCAAAAATGAGAGAGATAAGATGCTAACAGTAATTACACACAACGCGGGCGCGGTGATGATTTCCCGTAATTCTCCTCAGTTTTTCGTAATTCATAACTTTGAACATAACCTCTCTTCAGAAAGCACAACATAAAAATAACCCGTCGGGCACAGCCAATAGATATACTTCATTGGCAGCATATTCAGTAATGATTTTCTCACACAGCAAATATCACTGATTTTATACGCATGCAGACCAATACACATAATCATTCAGATTCGATCTTGCTATTCAACCAACTTTCTTCTCTACAGACAAGGACCATTTAGCCTCACAAAACATATGCAACCAATAATGCGTGTAGTTTAGTTGAGTGATTCCTCCTTAGATGGAGGTTCACAACGATCCTAGTGAGCAAACGTGAAGCGACTGTTTGCCCCTAAAAACTACCTAGCTTGCAACATGACATCTTATAGGTTTTTTTTTGACGTTTTATAGGTTTTTTATATGATACCAATGCCGACCATAAGTACGCCACCATTAATATGACATACGAGTATATCTCTACCTGGAAGACGGTTGTGTAGGTTCAAAGCGCGAAGCTTTCCTGCACGCCTTTGCCTTCCAAGTATACACGTATTTTCTCCCCACTGGATCCCGTTTTCTTGAAAAAGAATCTGTCGGTGATCAGTTAACCGTAAGCTTTTCCAGGTTTCTCTTATCATTTCTTACTGGATCGCCACCTCAGTGCCATACTGTTGATATCAATAAATTTATTGATTAATCTTGTTAACGATTGTTCTCATCCTGCCCTTTCAGAAAAGTTGCTTTTTGAAAGCAATGTTGGGACGAAATGGGAAAATGTATTCAAAGATAAATAACAATAGCAGCTTGGCAACAACGCTTCCCGCAGCATCCGAGGATGAAGAAAAAAACAAGAAGAAACCGTTGCGGCGAGTACGACTACCAGAAACCGGCGAGATATAGTACTCGAATCATTAGACTGACTGACCGTTGGAATCCGAGGTAGAAGGTCAAACGCAAAGCTGTATGTTTACTGTTGCTTTTAAAAACAACAGTGCTAGCTGTCAATTGAATATAGATACCAGCTATATTATCAAAAGTGATGGAAATGACTCGCAAAGTTTGTTCGATTGTTTCGATGGTTGTAAATTATGGAAATAGCCTGCTGTTCAAAGTGAAAGAAAAGGGACAAAGCAAGTTCAAGTACCTTTGCAGCAAACAGGGACGTACTTAGCATAAAGCTTTGAATTTTGATGTGACTGTCAATGATCAAAAGCAACTGGAAAATATGAGGCTGGCTGAATAACAATTGAGTGTTTTATTTACTACTACAAAAAGCATACTATTTCCTAAATGAAAATCTTAACAGGGAAGTTAGCCATTAGTTTCATTTTATTTTATTTCACTTTATCTAGTTTTCATCAATTTTAATTTCGTTATTCCATTCTTCTTCGCATTTTCACGGCTAGCTTTTTAATTCCTTCATGATGGAAACATTGCAAGTTATCCAAAAATATAACACCCTTGAATGCTTACACACTTCGAAATGGTGAATCAAAACAACTTATTTTAGAGGTATCCAATGTACGAAATCTGCAAATTAAGTAATGAGACTGGAAACGTAGCGTTCGATCTGGCAACACTGGAAGAACCGAGCTTGGAGGGGAGACAGGTGAACATGTGATCCGCTTTCACTACAAGCTTGAACTCGCTCGAGTCATTTTGTTGTCGCTAGCAATTTTTTTTGGGAAACTGTTGTTCCTATTGGATTCTAAAAATGAGCGACGTGTGGTATCAGGCTTTGCTTCAGACTTGTGCACAGTGCAACGTAGAGTCTTGCTAAACTTCAGCAGGCCTTCGGAGATAGTGTTTTGTCAAGAGCCCATGTGTTTTGGCATTTTCAGAAGGGAGAGGGTCGACTGGAGATGAACCGTGAAGCGGAAGGCCTTCATCTTCAAGGACCGATGAAAATATTGACAGACAGCCTCCTTATTCGCCTGATTTGAGTCGTTGTGACTTTTTGCTCTTTCTAAAAATGAAAAATCACCTCAAGGGAACTGATTTTTGGAGAGTCGAAAACATTCAAATGGCTGTAACCGACCAGTATCGGAGTTGCAACACTGCTATCAGGAGTGAAAGAACCGTCTCCCACTCTGTGGGGTTCAGGGTAGTAAATTTGGAAGAAGACAATATAAAATTGCAGTTATATTTACATAAAAAAATAATATCAGTCTCATCACTTGATTTATATACCTCGTATGCTGACACGTTGGACAATATAGATACTCCTTATACTTCAAGAATCATCAAACTGTCGTTTTTGTAGCAAATTTTATTCTCTACAAAGAAAGACAGTGGTCTTTATACACTTGAATTTTTGAATGTAACTATACTAAGTGACATATAAATCCGAACACCCAGTTTAAATGGTTTTATTTTAATAAAATTTTGTATAAGTACTTAATGAAGCATAATAAGTAAATGATAAAAATTTCAAAATGAATGCGCTGCTTTAAAGCCGTTTGACCTTTAATAATGTGTGGATGCACCCTGATGTGCTACGCATTATCCAACGCGAATAGGCATGCTTCTGATCAGGTGGTCAATGTCCTCCTGTGGTATCTCAGTCCAGGCAACCACCAACTCCTCTCGAAGTGCTTCTAGAGTCTGAGGAGGACGTTGCAAATTGAGCAATCTCCTACCCGTCATATCCCACACGTGCTCAATTGGGGATAAGTCGGGAGATCTTGGTGGCGATGGTAACAATCATTATTATGTTGAAAGAAGTCTATTGTGACTCTTGCAACATGTCGTCGGGCATTATCTTGTTGGAAAGTTGGATCTGCCAGGGTGTCAAGATAGGGTAAAAGATGGGGTTCTAGAACTTCGTGGATATAACGCTGCGCGTTCATGTTACCTCTGATGAAGATTAAAGGTGACCTGGAACCATAAGCTATAGCACCCCAAGCCATAACTCCAACAGTGTGATGGACATGTCTTTCAACAAAAAACTGTGGATTCCTCCTTTCACCACGTCTCCTTCTAACCCTGGCACGACCATCGTGCATGCCTAAACAAAATCGAGACTCGTCACTAAAGACAATACTGTTCCATTCCTGATCCCAGAGTGACCGTTGTCTGCACCACTCAAGGCGATTACGTCGGTGTTCTCGAGTTAAAAGGAGGACCCAGTGTGGCCGGTATGAAAACAAGCCAAAACTTCTCATTCGTCGGTAAACACTTCGCATGCCAATAGGTCTTCCGTATTCTGCAAACGATTCATTTGCAATGGACCTGGTAGTGGAGAAACGGTCCCTTAAGGCCAATAATCTTAGGCGGCGATCTTCACGGTCTGTTGTTCTACGGCGGCGTCCAGTGCCTCTTGCTCTTTGCGTACGGCCTTCTCGAAGCCATACCTAACAACACCTAACCACAGTGTCTACACTTCTTTGCACTCTAACTGCAATTGCCCGAAAAGAAAGTCCAGCTTCCCGAAGTCCCACTATACGGCCCCTATCAAACTCACTAAGTTGTCGAAATCGTACAGGTCTCCGTCCTCTAGGCATCGTAACCGATCGTAAAGGATGTCAAGAACCAAAATCCGCCAACGTTGATTCTTTACTGCGGCTGAAATATTCATTTTTAGAGCGTTAGTGAATTAAAAAAAAGCAGTATAAAAACCGGAATGTCCAACTGATAAGGCTGAAATTTTTTTCACTTGTTATTTACAGTAAGATAAATACATTCACCAACTTTTATTAAAATAAAACCATTTAAACTGGGTGTTCGGATTTATATGTCACTTAGTATATACGGAAAAGTTATTGTAAAAACAAAATGCTAGGCAATTTAATTGCTAGCAAAATTGCTCTTACTACTTTACTACTTTTTGGCATAGGATCGCAGGCGTAGAGGGTTCAACTGTCCGATTAGTCCCCCCCCCCCTCGGTTATGGTAATGAAGAAGTGATCACACTGTTTTTTGT